CGGATATTCGGATATTCGGATATTCGGATATTCGGATATTCGGATATTCGGATATTCGGATATTCGGATATTCGGATATTCGGATATTCGGATATTCGGATATTCGGATATTCGATATTCGGATATTCGGATATTCGGATATTCGGATATTCGGATATTCGGATATTCGGATATTCGGATATTCGGATATTCGGATATTCGGATATTCGGATATTCGGATATTCGGATATTCGGATATTCGGATATTCGGATATTCGGATATTCGGATATTCGGATATTCGGATATTCGGATTATTCGGATATTCGGATATTCGGATATTCGGATATTCGGATATTCGGATATTCGGATTTCGGATATTCGGATATTCGGATATTCGGATATTCGGATATTCGGATATTCGGATATTCGGATATTCGGATATTCGGATATTCGGATATTCGGATATTCGGATATTCGGATATTCGGATATTCGGATATTCGGATATTCGGATATTCGGATATTCGGATATCGGATATTCGGATATTCGGATATTCGGATATTCGGATATTCGGATATTCGGATATTCGGATATTCGGATATTCGGATATTCGGATATTCGGATATTCGGATATTCGGATATTCGGATATTCGGATATTCGGATATTCGGATATTCGGATATTCGGATATTCGGATATTCGGATATTCGGATATTCGGATATTCGGATATTCGGATATTCGGATATTCGGATATTCGGATATTCGGATATTCGGATATTCGGATATTCGGATATTGGGATATTCGGATATTCGGATATTCGGATATTCGGATATTCGGATATTCGGATATTCGGATATTCGGATATTCGGATATTCGGATATTCGGATATTCGGATATTCGGATATTCGGATATTCGGATATTCGGATATTCGGATATTCGGATATTCGGATATTCGGATATTCGGATATTCGGATATTCGGATATTCGGATATTCGGATATTCGGATATTCGGATATTCGGATATTCGGATATTCGGATATTCGGATATTCGGATATTCGGATATTCGGATATTCGGATATTCGGATATTCGGATATTCGGATATTCGGATATTCGGATATTCAGATATTCAGATATTCAGATATTCAGATACTCCGATACTCCGATACTCCGATACTCCGACATTCCGACATTCCGATATTGCGATAAAGCTAAATGTACAAAAAATGGCAGTTTTTGAGAGAACTAAGTGTCCGATTTCAATGATTCAAAGAACTTTCTGCTTGTTGTAACAAAATAATTGCTTTTGAAAAAAAAAATGTTATAATTTTTTTTCAAATTTTATTTTCTTGAAATTTTTAAGTTACGAAGTTTCAAGTTAAAATTCGATGAATTAACAAATAATTATCTGACTACGTTCGGTAAAATTGCCAGCTACTTCATCATTGTTGAAATGTATTTTGTTGATGTCTTTCAAAAATTTGTTATCTACACCTTTTTACCCCGCCTATAGGTAATTTGGAACGGTCAGGTGGCAAACACGTTTAAAACCTTACTTTAATTTAAAGGTATTTTACAAAATAATTACATTTTTAACTAATGCAAAAAAACTACCAACGGAAGAAAATACTTTTATTATGAATTTTCAAAGATGAGCGATATTTTGTAATACAATCAAACTGGAAGTTTTATATTCTTTGTATTACATTTGAAAGAGAGCTCCATTTTTATATATAAGATATATTGTATATTTTTTTGTAAATTTTCAAATAAATTAAATAGTTTATATATATATATATATATATATATATATATATATATATATAGAAATTCTTCAGTAACAATTTCCAAATATTATTTGCAAATTCCGAAACCGGAGAAGATAGTCCTCGTTATTTTTCAAAAAAAATTTAACTTAAAAATTTTCAAATTTAACTTTTCGATTCTAATATTAATCCATATATATATATTGGATATTTTTGCCAAATTTTCGATGAAATCAATTTACTTTTCTCTGAAATTTCAAACATTTTCAAAATACTAAACGTCTTTAAAAAACTGTCCTAGATTTAATAAAAATTTCAAACTTATTAAAAAATTAGTTTTTGGATTCTCTTTTTAAGTAAAAATTACATAAAATAATTTAATAGATAAAAGACAACTTAATATATTATAACCTCTGATAAATAAAATGACAACTTGCTAAACATTTTAATTTCAATAATTCAATAATTTAATTTTAATACTTTTAATTTTAATTTTAATAATTTTAATCAAGAAACTTTTACAAAAACCAATTTCAGATTTTTTGAGAAATTTTGAAAGATTCATAGAGATTTTCACAAAAACGAATTTCTGAATTTTTGAGCAATTTTAAAGTATAAATACTAAATTTTATACAAAAAAATATAAATTTTCTTATATATATATATATATATATATATGTATTATATTTCACCCCTTCATATGTATCGATAAAAATCGCCCTTTTACTTTTCATATGCGAATATAAAGGGGTGTGTAAACATTTTGTATTCTTTATGAATATTAATTGAATTTTATGTGTTCCATAATTTCCGAATCGACTTTTGACTTCTTCTGGAAAAAAATAAATTACCATATTATATTCAAAAGTGTTTGAACTGAATTTTTAAGAGCACTTGTTGAATTAATTTATAATATATATATATATATATATATATATATATATTACATCATTAGCATTTAAGATGCTTAATGTACTAGAAATAATTAAATAATCTTGATTTAAACCTCTTGAACATAAGTTTATAATTTCTATATGGACATACAGAATGTTTAAGATAAATGCATATCAAAGAAAAAGCTAAGTCATTCTAAAAGTCATTAAATTATAATATCTATCTATATATATATATATATATATATATATATATATATATATATATCTTTTACATGTCTAATTTTATATTTACACGAATTATACAAAATTTTTAAATGAGGGCGCCATAGAAGAATTTGGTGGAATCATTTCTTTAGTATTATCGAACTTGGAAAATATTTTTTGAAAAAATTTAATTAGATTATTTTTTTTATTTATCATTTTCTATTTTTGATATAAACTTTTAATTTTGTTTTCAATCATTAATTTTATTGTTAACCAAGTTATTTAACAGATTTTTTTTAAATTGTGCTCTTGATACAAATTTAATATAACTGATATAATTTAATAATTATATCAGTTTGTCTTTTGATTTATAAATAAAAGTGAGTATTATATTAGTATTATAAATAAAATTATTCAATTAATTTTCAATTTTATCATAAAAATGGTTCAACAATTTAGAATTATTTGAAAGCTGATTATTTGCAAAAATCGAATAAATTTATCATGAAAACGGTTAAACAATTTGTAATTATTTGAAAATATTAAACATATACTTAAGTATAAAAAATATTTTTTTTTTTTTGGTAATTTTCTTAGCAAAACGTAGGCATTTTAAAAAAATGTATGGTGCTAAAAGTAATAAAAAAGAAACGGTAATTTATTTATAAAATACAGTACTAATATTTTTAACGAATTGCAAAAATTTCCCGATTTTTATGAATAATTGACTTAATTAATAAAAATTGAAACAATAAAATTTTGTAGTATTGACACAGCCAAGCTTTCAATAATTTTTAAATAAATTGGATTTTTTTTTAATACATATTATATATAATATTTTGAACTCTAAGATCAAAATTTTCTCTTACACATACTTAATTTTTTTTTTCAATTTTAATATCAAATTTCTTGAAACATAAATCGGATTTTCTGCTAGAACATAAACTTTACCTTCGAAAACTTATCAAAATTTATATTTAAATAAAATACATAAAGTATCTATTAAAATCAATTATATTTCAACATTTTATATACATATTTGATTTACTTACAACATATTTTTAATACGATATATATATATATATATATAAATATATATATATATATATATATATATACTCTGCTTACTTACAATATATTTATAATTAAACAGTCTTTGTAATTTTATTGCAATACTTATAATAATTAATTGTATAATTACATATCTTTGGAAGATTATTTGAACTTATCACTTGCTTATAAAAATATAATGTATGGAATAATAGAATATACTCTATATAATTTCCTTAAAGTTTTACTATATTACCGACTTATTAATTATTTGTACTTTATTTGTGGGATAGAACGGTATTAGTAATAATTATTGCTTTTATATTTCCGATTTTTTTTAGAAATTATAAACTATTTATAGAGATTTTTACAAAAACGAATTTCTGAATTTTTGAGAAAATTGTTGGGAAATATTCAAGTATTCATAGAGAGTTTCAGAAAAACGAATTTCTGATTTTTATTATTTATTGATGAATTTTTAAGTATTTATAGATTTTCATTTTAGATATTTTAATGAATCTATAAATACATAGAGAATTTTACAAAAACAAATTTCCAAAGTTTTGAGAAATTTTAAAGTATTTATAAAGAACTTTAAGAAAACAAATTTCAGAATATTTGAGAAATTTTTAAGTATTTATAGAGATTTTAACCAAAAATAACTTCTGAATGTTTAAGAAATTTCAAAGTATTTATAGAGACTTACAAAAACAAATTTTTGAAGATTTTTTTTAAGTATTTATAGAGATTTTCACAAAAACGAATTTCTGATTTTTATTTATAGAGATTTTCACAAAAACAAACATCTGAATGTTTGAGAAATTTTTAAATATTTAAAGCGATATTCATAAAAACGAGTTTACGAATTTTTAAGAAAATTCTAAAACTGCATTATTATTATTATTATGTGATAGTTTTCTTCTAAAAAATTTTATTTCCACTGGTGATGACATAGAATTTATTTAAGTAGTTACTTTAATGACGTAGAAAAATAAAGAAGCTAGGCCCTGCTATAATTTAATCTGACATTCAACATCAACAAATTTAAAAATTTAATAACTCTTAACATGTATATATATATATATATATATATATAAAGTTTTATTAATTTGCATTTTCTGGGCTTGCCAAACATGTGATTTCCAAATTGTCGGAATCAATATTACCCGGATCGATCTGACAAACAACAATAGAAACAGTCTTAGCTATCTCTCGCTTCCTTTTGACCTTACAATGAGTTGAAAAATGTCTTTGCAACTTGTCCTTCCTATGAAACGACATGTTGCATCCAATAATTTTTTTCAAAGGACACTCATACACTTTTTTAGATTGGTGAGTTACAATATGTCTTATCAAGTGGTCCTTTCGCTTAAAAGTCATCGAGCAATGCATACAAGTAAATTCAGGCGTTGTGTTGTGTATCAGCATGTGATTACTGAGTGATGTTTTAAGTTGGAACACACGTCCACAAATTTGGCAGCTGTGCGGGGTACCTTTATGGATTTTTATGTGCCTTCTTAAATATCTTGCATCGTTGAAAGTCTTATTACAGATATGACACTCGTGTTTGTGAGTTGCTGTTTGCTGGTGTTTTTGCAAGCCTTGCTGAGTGCTGAAGGAACAGTTACAAACCAAACATGTATACCGTATGTTCCTAACATCAATCTCATCGGTGCTCGATTGTGTATGAATTTTCAGATGCTCTGCTGCATCTTTTAAACTGTTGGAACTCTGGCAACAAATGTGACATGCAAAAGTCCTGTCGGGATGTAAATCATGCATGTGGTGTAACAGATTGGTCTCGGAATCAAACATAGCGTCACATGTCGGTAGAGCGCATTTAAAAACCTTCAAGTTACTATGTTTGCTGTTTGCGTGCTTTTTCAATTCATGAGAAGTCTTGAAGATTTTTTTACAAAACATGCAAACATACACATAATCACCCCTATGATACTTTGGTATTAAAAAATTCACATCATGCGGCCAAGTTTGGTGCGTTTTTATGTGTTTACATTGGTTAGACTTTTGTGCAAACGTACGTCCACATATAGCACATTGAAAATCCCTACTCAACATATGGATTTTATAATGTTGAACAAGATCAGACTCTTGATCAAACTCTTTCTTGCACTCGTTACACTTGTATACAGTTCGAACAGCTGTGCACGGTGCAGGTTCCTTAACCGGTTCATTGTCTTCTGTAATATTTGATAAATTAAAAGGCGTTGAACAACGTTCTTCGCCGATTATAGGACTGTTTTGAAACGTCGATATGAGCTCTTTACAGTTACTCCAAACCAAATCAGTATTATCGAGTAACAAATTGTTATCGATTAATTCAGAATTAATATCATCTGGTACTAATGGTAGTAACTTACCATTAGTATCAGTCAATATGTTTTCATACCATATGTTTGCATTTAAATCTATATTGTTTAGGTCTGATGTCTTATGTTGCTCTTTGTGTATGAGGAACGAGGATACTGATTTGAATATTTGCTTGCACTTTCCACATTGTAAAGAATCATTTTCGTCTTGGTGGAGTCGTGGTTCATCTATTATTGGCAAGGATGGGAATTTGGAAGATTTTGAATTATTTTTTTCATTTTTCGACATTGTTTACGCACCTGGAAAAATCAAACAACACAAACATAATTAATATATACAAATATATTGAACTATATTTTGCCTGCAACAAATTTTGTTGAAACACTTTAAAATTTTGTAAAAATAATTCCTGACCTCATAATACAAATTCATTACAAATACTTTTTATTACAATTAACCTAGCACAACTGACATAACCTCAAAAACAATTTGTGTAAGAACCTGTTGAAAATATTGTATAAAATAACACAAACTTTATATAAATCGAATCCTTACTTGTTTAATTTAACATGCACTAAATATAACGTATTTAATATACTTTATAATATTTAAATAAATTTAACCTGACATAACCTCAAAAATAATTTGTGCAGGAATTTGTATATAATATTGAATAAAATAGCACAAATTTTATATAAATCAATTACTTACCTTTTAATTCAACATACACTGAATATAACGTATTTAATATAATTTATAATATCTTATTTGATATTTAAATAAACTTAACCTAGTACACAACTGGCGCCACTTTATATGCAATTTAATTTGTATTTGTACAACTGTCATTTTTGTTAAACTGTCATTTTTGTGAAACCGCCTTTTTTTGTAAAACTGTCAAATAAATATTCGTTAAGATTTTAAATAAGTAATTGATATATAATATTTATAATTAATCTAATAAACAAATTTCTTTATAATAATGCTAGCTAGTTCTATAAATAAACAAACATAAGTTTAGTAGTTAAAAAGTCAGTGCACTTACGTCAGTGTACTTACGTACAATAACACAAATATTATATAAAATGATTTCTCATTTGCTTAAATCGATTGACACTCAATATAATTATTAAACTTATATGTTAAATTTATTAAAAATCATTTTTAAATTTTTTTTTTAATATTTATTTTGTTGGTTGGTACCTACTGGCATAACTTGAAATGCAATTCTGTTTGTGTAAGAGAACTGTCAAAGTGTGTGTGAGTGTAAAAAACACAAATTAGTTTTATTTGTTACAATTAATTAATTGATATTTACAGTAAGTAATTGATTTTTATTTGTTTGTTTAATTGTTATTTATTTATGTAAAATGATTTTAATATGCATCAATGTTTTTAATAAAATTGTGACAAATAATCATTTGTCTCATCAAAACACCAAAATCACAATCAATAAACAAAGTTTCAACATATATTAATATGTTGTTATGTATGTAAGTTAATATGTTTATTGATTGTGATTTTGGTGTTTTGATGAGACAAATGATTATTTGTCAAAATTATTTTGAACTAGTTGTAAGTTGCGATTTGCCTTACTGAATGTTTTCAAATAGATTATTATAAACATTGTACCATTGTCTAATATTTATAAGAATTATATAAACTGAATTATTAGAACTATAGTCAGAATTAAAAATAAAATCTGAAATATTTTCGATATACACTAAACTAAAAAAAAAAGAAAAAAAAAATGGATCAAATTTTTTTTCCGAAAATCAATTATTTTTTTAAGACAAGCAGAAAGTTCTTTGAATCATTTAAATCGGACGCTTAGTTCTCTCAAAAACTGCCATTTTTTACATATTTAGCTCCGTATCTTTAAAATGGCTGGGCCTGCCTTTGCCAAAAACTAATAAACACTTCTCCCAATCATTACTAATTGAATGTGTTTAGATCATTCAAATTGGATACTCCGTTCTCTTAAAAATTCGATTTCTATTTTCTGCACTCTTTGCTCCGTATCTTCGAAACGGCTGGACCTGCCTTTGCCAAAAACTAATTAGTTCTTTTCCCTATCAATAGGAATCGAATGTTTTTTGAACCATTCAAATCAAATCACATGCGGACATACAAAACACACACAAACATCCATTTTTTCTTAGATATGCCAAAATGTTCAGAAACCTTCAAAACGTCGAGAAATGCAAAAATTTTCATTTTCAATTTTCGGCCCATTACTATAACTACCCTATGGGAAGTTAAAAATGTATCCAAACACACACACACGCGCAGACACACACACATTTCGGTTTTTTCTAAGATAAGCCAAAATGTTCATGAGGTCTTAAAACGTAAAAATATGCAAAAAAAATATTTTCGATTTTTTTGCGATGACGCTAAGGAAAATTCGTAATATATACTACTATTACCATTTATATTCAAAATAACTTAAACATTGCGGACATTTTACTTTACTTTCCAATTTACTACAAGACATAATAATATTTTTCATTAACAAAACCCAAAAAAATCAAACTTCTTCCCCATGATGGCCCTCACAGCAGCATAATTAAAAATAAACAACAGTATCAGACTAGTCTCCTCCCTCGGCAAATCCAGGCAACCCTCCATGAAATCCAGGCACCTCATCCTCAAAACCCCAACCAGGGCCAGCAAAGAGCACCAATCTCGGCCCAACGATGAGTTTTTGTAAGATATATAACATAGGGATCCTACTGACACACAAAGCAGGAGGTCGAAGAGACCAGCACCAGCAGGGTCGTCCTGGTAGTCGGCCAGGCGGATGATGATGGGAATTAGGCCGGCTGCCATGTTTAGGTAGATGTAGTTGTCTTTGAATTTGTGAAGCATCGCCAGCTCGGTGGTGACCAGGCCGAGGGCGCATTCCTGGATGAAGTAGTCGAAGATACATGTTACCTCCGATTCGCTATCTGAATCACTACCTAAGGGAAAAAGACATATTTAGATATAATCATTTAATGGGGCTGAAAGGTTCCTAACCATTATCTCAAAAATAAGTAAAGTATGGTGAAGACGCCCGGCGCAATGTTTATTAAAAAAAAAGTCAATCAACAATCACTACACACGGACACTTTACTACCTCAGAGGATCAGATATAATTTAATATTAGAATGGCTATATCAGACCTTTAAAAATAAGTAAGTTAAATAAGTTGGTTTAGTTATTAATAGTATTTATTTGTTTGATGTTCACGGTTCAAGTTATGCGTACAGAATGAGTAATTTTTTATAATTAGCTTAGTACCTACAGAAGGGTAGGAAATTATTTTATTATGTCAGGTAGACAAAGGTAGATGAATAAAAATTGTGAGGCTCGAACATATGGTATTTAGCAATACTAATTTTAAACTAGAGACTTAGGTTTTCGAGTTTCCCAGTAAAGTATACTGAGTTCCTGTAGAATTTTTGGACGTTAGAAAATATTGTAGATTCTTTAAATTTGTATAAATTTGTCGAATATTCTATATACTTTACTCTATATTCGCACGTTTCAAAAGTTGCAAGAGACATAATAAAAAAATCACAAGGTTGTATTTAAGTTAAGTTATGCAGTTTTATAAAGAATTTTATATATTTTCTAAAAATTTAAGATGGTTGATAAGTGTTTGAACAAATTTCGTGATATTTGCAAAAAACTGCAAAAGTGTCCACAATTACCATGCTTATTGAATCTTGTTCGACAGTCGACTTACAAATTAGAATTTCGTTGCAATTTTCTGCAAAATTTTACTATTATGCGACATAGTTTCATTAACGCAGTTTTGCGTAGAATTTTATGTACTTTTTAAAACTGTAATGTGTTTGATAAGTGTTTGAACAAATTTTCGAGGTATTTGCAAAAAACTACAAAAGTTTTCACAATTACCATGCTTATTAAATCTTGTTCGACAGTCGACTTACAAATTAGGATTTCGTTGCAATTTTATGCAGAATTTTACTATTATGCGGTATAATTTGATTAATTTAGATTTGCATAGAATTTTATGTAATTTTTAAAAATGCAAGACGTTTAGTAGGTGCTTGAACAAATTTTAAAAATATTTGCACAAAACCAAAAAAGTGCGCAAGATTATCGTGCCAATTAAGTATTGTTTGAGCATCGAGTCATAAAGTATAAGTTTGTTGCAATTTTATGCAAAATTTTACTATTATGCGATACAATTTTATTAACGCAGTTTTGGAAAGAATTATATGTACTTTCTAAAAATGCAAGATGTTTATTAAGTGTTTGAACAAACTTTCAAGATATTTGCACAAAACCAAAAAAGTGCGCATGATTATTGTGCCAATGTATTGTTTGAGCGTCGAGTCATAAAGTATAAGTTTATTGCAATTTTGTGCAAAATTTTACTATTATGCGGTATCATTTGATTAATTTAGATTGATAAGTTTGTTGCAATTTTATGCAAAATTTTACTAGTATGTGGTATAATTTGTTTAGTGTAGATTTTCAAAGAATTTTATGTACTTTTTTAAAAATGTAAGATGTTTGGTAAATGTTTGAATAAATTTTCGAGATATTTGCAAAAAACTGTAAAAGTGTCCACGATCATCAATCCTCCAGTCATAAATTATAAGTCTTTTTATGCAAAATTTTAGTATTAGGTTGTATAATTTAATGATAATTATGTTATAATTTACCGCAGTTTTGTATACTTTTTTTGTATACTTTTTTTGTATACAGAGTTTATATACTTTTTTAAAACGGAAAATGTTTAATATGTTTTCGAACAAGTTTTCGAGATATTTGCTTTAAAACTATATAATTGTCGCCTTTCTGATCCCGGAGTTACAAATTAAAAGTTTGTTGCAATTTTATACAAAATTTTACTGTGATTCGATATAATTTAGTCAATGCACTTTTATAGATAATTTTATATACTTTTTAAAAATATTTAATTTATAATATAATTATAATTATAATTAAACTATAAAATTGTCCATGTCTATTGAACCCATTCTGACCGCGGAGTTACAAATTATAATTTTGTTGCAATTTTATGCAAAATTTTACTATAATTTGGTATAATTTAATTACCGCAGTTTTGTAGAGAATTTTTTATACTTTTGAAAATGGAAAATGTTTTATAAGTGTTTGAACAAATTTTCGAGATATTGGCTAAAAACTATAAAAGTATCCACCGAGTTGTATATTACAACTTCCTTGTGATTTTTATTTTTGTTAAGTCCCCAATGAAAGAAAAATGTTTGATACATCATTGTACAATTGTATTTCCAGATGTTCGAACAAAAAATATTCAGTTACAAAATTATGTACAAATGCGTTTATTAGAAAAAATTATAGCAATAAAAAATTAGGCATCGGAGATCTACTGCAATCCCATTTGTTGTCTACCCAAAACGATTTTTTCTCTCTACATAAAGTTATAAAAATTAAAAAGCGGTCCAGCAATGGCTCTGACTCCACAATAGCTCATCAGACACAGCAAAAAAGCAGAGGATTCATCTTTGGGAATATCATAATCGCTTTCTAATTTATCCAAAGCCTTGGCCCTCAACAATCCGCAAAGGGCCAGAGCCGACACCCAATCCTGGCCAGGTTTTCCATCACAAATGGTGATGTATAGAAGTGTTCCGACACTGACGCAGAGTAGAACATCCAGCAATTTTTTACTGTTGTCTTCATCCTGTTTGTCGGCCAATCGAAGGAGAAAAGGAGTCACTCCTGCTGCCAAATTTAGCCAACATAGTTCCTTGGGTAGACCATGCCGGAATGCCACTTCAGTCGCCAGCATGCCCAATGTACAATTTTGAACGAAATAATCGATGTAGTCCATTAATTC